CCCATTTCGGCACACCCCTCACACGTTTCGTGGCCCCATAGGAGCTCCACCGAAGGCCCCAGTGCTGCCGCCCGCATGCGTCCCGCACACCCAATTCGGCACACCCCTCACACGTTTCGTGGCCCCATAGGGAGCCCCACCGAAGGCCCCAGTGCTGCCGCCCGCATGCGTCCCGCACACCCAATTCGGCACACCCCTCACACGTTTCGTGGCCCCATAGGGAGCCCCACCGAAGGCCCCAGTGCTGCCGCCCGCATGCGTCCCGCACACCCAATTCGGCACACCCCTCACACGTTTCGTGGCCCCATAGGGAGCCCCACCGAAGGCCCCAGTGCTGCCGCCCGCATGCGTCCCGCACGCCCAATTCGGCACACCCCTCACACGTTTCGTGGCCCCATAGGGAGCCCCACCGAAGGCCCCAGTGCTGCCGCCCGCATGCGTCCCGCACACCCAATTCGGCACACCCCTCACACGTTTCGTGGCCCCATAGGGAGCCCCACCGAAGGCCCCAGTGCTGCCGCCCGCATGCGTCCCGCACACCCAATTCGGCACACCCCTCACACGTTTCGTGGCCCCATAGGGAGCCCCACAGAAGGCCCCAGTGCTGCCGCCCGCATGCGTCCCGCACACCCAATTCGGCACACCCCTCACACGTTTCGTGGCCCCATAGGAAGCTCCACCGAAGGCCCCAGTGCTGCCGCCCGCATGCGCCACGCACACCCAATTCGGCACACCCCTCACACGTTTCGTGGCCCCATAGGGAGCTCCACCGAAGGCCCCAGTGGCGGCGCTCACATGCGCATGCGTCCCGCATACCCATTTCGGCACATCCCTGACAGGTTTCGTGGCCCCATCATCCACCGGAGGCCCCAGTGGCGGCGCTCACATGCGTCACCCACACCCACCCAATTCGGCACACCCCTCACACGTTTCGTGGCCCCATAGGGAGCTCCACCGAAGGCCCCAGCGGCCGCGCTCACATGCGTCCCCGACGCCCATCCCGGCACGCCCCTCACAACAACAGGTTTCGTGGCCCCATAAAGAGCCCCACCGAAGGCCCCAGTGCTGCCGCCCGCATGCGTCACCACCCGCACCTAATTCGGCACACCCCTCACACGTTTCGTGGCCCCACGAAGGCCCCAGTGGCGGCGCTCACATGCGTCCCCGCCACACATCCCAGTACACCCCTCACGCGCTTCGTGGCCCCATAGGGAGCTCCACCGAAGGCCCCAGTAGCGGCGCTTACATGCGTCTCCGCCACCCATCCCGGCCCCCCCCCCCGCAGCAGCATCATGTTTCGGGGACCCATAGGGAGCTCCACTGGAGGCCCCAGTGGCGGCCCGCACATGCGTTTCCGCCACCCATGTCGGCACGCCCCGCACGTGTTTCATGTCCCCATAGGGAGCTTCGCCGAATGCCCCAGTGGCACCCATCTCGGCACACCCCTCACACGTTCCGTAGTCCTATGGGGAGTTCCAATGAAGATGAAACCCGCAGCTGCGGTACTGACAACTGCATATGGTTGGGTTCTTCGCCAGGCTAATTTGACAGAGAGGGGCCTCGTTTCTTCTTCATCGTTTCTCAATTCCTCAGGTCAGCGGCCCGACTGTGCTGCACACCGTGGTCTCCACTTGTCCCTGCCTCGTCTCCCCGATCCCCCCCCCCTCGCGTCAGCCCCTCTGCGAGTGGACCCCGTCGATCCGCTGTGGGTGGCTCGTGGGTCCCACGCCGCGTGACCTGGGCCGGCCGCGCGCGTCTCTCTGCCCGATGCGCCACGCCGCGCCGCCGCGCGCGCGGCCGCGGCGCCAGAACGTGTGGGGAGATTGGCCGGGGCCACGACATCTCCTAATCATGATGGTGCTTCTTATTGTGAGGGCCTCTGGCCAGTGCCGCCGATCCAGGGGTCTCTGGATTCGGTGATCTTCGAGGCTCTGTGGCCTCCTCCCTCCTCGATTCTTCCGGTCTTCCTTAGGTCTTCCTTCCTCTCCTTTAGGGGGGGGGTGCCTGGCGCGGTCCCGGGGGGGTCCGGGGAGGGCGACGCCACAAAATGTGTGAGGAGCTTGGCTGGGGCCACGACATCTCCTAAGCATGTTGGCCCTTCTTCTTTTCTTTCGTCTTCCGTCAATGCCTCCTCCTCCGTCCTCCTCCTCCTCCTTCTCCTTCCTCCTTCCTCCTTCCTCCTCCCTCCTCCTCCTCCTCCTCCTCTTCCTCCTCCTCCTCCTCCCTCCTCCTCCTCCTCCTTCTTTCTTCCTCTTCCTCCTCCTCCTCCGCCTCCTCCTTCTGTCAGTGCACCCCCAGGCCTCCGCTCGTCCGCGCGCGTGCCGCGGGCCGCGCTGCGCCGCTGGCCCCTCTCGTAATTACCGGCCCCCCTCGTCGGCGCGCCCGAGTGTCGTCCGAGGGTGCCACGGTTCAAGCAGTGGCGAAGCTCGGCCACGCGCAGAGGGTGGTAGACGGAGGGGGGAAGGCTTCTTAGAAGCACCCCTGCTTCTTAGAAGGCGTGGTCCTTATGTATAGATGTAAGGCCGCCGCCTTCTAAGAAGCAGCCTCCTTCTAAGAAGCCTTCCCCCCTCCCTCTACCCCCTTCTGCGCGCCGCCGAGAAGCGTCCCGGCTCGCCTACAGCCCCACCAAACAATGTTCTAAGGACCTTTTGTGGTTCCCACGGAAAGGTCTCAGAACACTTATGGCTGAGGCTGTTTGGTTTCAACACACCGGGCTTGTGCTCTAAGGACATTGTTTTTGTTCTTAGAACAGCTTTGGGTTCTAAGAACATTCCGTGGTATGACTACAGGAATGCCGGGACGGTCGGTCCCTGCTCAAAAGGTCGGCGCCAGGGATCTGCGCAGGCGTGCATGTTTTATCAATTCGTGCAGGGGGCGGCCATTCCGCGGCGACCAAGTGTCGTTGTGTACCTCTCTCCTGCTTTCGTTCCGTCTTCTTCTTCTTCTTCTTCCTCTTCTTCTTCGTTTTCTTTTCCTCTTCCTTTTCTGGCTGGCGTGGGGGCGGGGGGCCTGGCCAGGGGAAGCCGCGACGGGGGGGGCACCAGTGGGCTGGCGTCGTGGTAGCCGGTCTGGGGCCCGAGGATGGGCATGGAAGGGCCCAGGGAACGGGGGGGTGGGGGCGCGGAGCCTGCCTGGAACGTTCTTCTTCATATCTGCGCGCCTCCTCTTCCTCCTCCCTCTCCTCCTCCTTCCTCCTCCTCCTCCTCCTTCCTCCTCCTCCTCCTTCCTCCTCCTCCCTCCTCCTCCTCCTTCTTTCTTCCTCTTTCTCCTCCTCCTCCTCCTCCTCCTCCTCCTCCTCGTCCTCCTCCTCCTCCTCCTCCTCCTTTGGCACACTTGCAGATTGCGATGCGTAATCGCAGGCTGTGCCAGCGCTCCTGCGCGAATGGTCTCCCCTCCCAGTTTCCGGGGGCCGGGTCCTGCATGTCGTCGGGGCCGGTCCTGCAGTGGTTGGGTGCACGCAGCTGGCTGCATACACGGTGAAGCTTGGCCCGGCGATCAGCTGTGGGGGTCAGTTCCCGCTGGCTGGCAGACATTCCCGAGGGCCCCAGAGTGGCGGCGATGAAGGTGCTGCTGTGATGGGGCCCCTCCGTGCGCCTCGACCCACGTCGGGTAGTCGAGCTCTGGGCAGTGGGCTTGGCGAGCAGAGGGGAGGGAACCCGGGGGGTCCATCCGAGTACCCCCCCCGCACCGTCTTGAGGGAAAGGGGCTGGAGGGGGAAGGGTAATAATGGGGGGGTGCACCTCGGACTTTTTTCAATTTTGTCCAGTTCTGCCCTCTGGTGGGGGAGCGTTTCTGGGCCTCGGGGACGGTGACACATGTTATTGGTTGGAAAACATGTCCCCAGGGAAGGGGCCGAGACCTCCTTACGGCCCGGGGACTAGGGAGGGAGTCGAGACAGTACATCGGAGGTATGGGGAGGGAGTGGGTATCGCAATCGCCAGCGCAGATGTGAAAATGCGCGAACTCAGAAGCTTCTTGGGAACCAGAGGGATTTTTTCAGGAAGGAACCCTCAACGTCTGCTAGCAGTTCCGCTCGGGAGCTTCCTCTCGCCAAGGCATCGTTGCATCACGGGTTTATCCAACAACTGGCTTCCGCCCTTCCGCCGACCCCCCAGGTTGGGCCTCTTGGAGGGCTCTCGGGGGCATCTGGGGGTCTTTCCGGGGCTGCTTGGGGGCTCTTGGAAGTCTCGTGGAGGCCTCTTGGGGCCCCTTGGCGGCTCCTCGAGGGCCTCTGGGCGTCTCTTGGAGCTATCTTGGGGGGAAAGGCTCGCCCTTTTGGAACGTCTCGGAAGTCCCTGGGGCCGTTTTGGGGCCCTTTTTTGGGCTGTCTTGGGGCTCTCTTGGTGGGGGCCTCGTGGGCTGTCCTGGGACGATCTTTGGGGCCCTTGGGCCGTCTTGGACGCTGCGAAAACGAAAAAGGGCGAGTATCGATCTACGTTTTCCCAGAGGGATGGGCGATTCTTTTGCTTCCCGGAGAAGGCCCGAGAGAAGTGTTGGCGCGCTCATGGGCCCCCAGGCGAAGGCCCTCAGGCGGCATTTTGGACCCAGGGCAGGGGAAAGGGGGAGGGAGGTAGCCAAGTGTCTCACACGCCTTGTCACCCCCAGTAAGCTCGGGGGTGGACAGAACCCCCATTAGTGACACGTCGATTAGTGAATTGTCCGCTTTCGGTTCTCGAGAGGGCGCCGTGGCCGTTATTTTCCAGGCTTGCGCCCGCCAGGTTTGGGCCTTTGGTCGTTTTCACTAAACCACGTTTTGCTAAAGGGGGTTCTGTCCATCCCTGATAGCCAAGTGTCTCACACGCCTTGTCACCCCCAGTAAGCGGGGGTCGGCCGACTCCATGCTGGGCTACTCCAGGCTTAGTAGCGCTCTTGGTGCCTCCTGGGCCAAGCCTGCTGCGACAGGGCGCCCGCCAGCAGGACTCGAGGCAGGATGCCGCCGCGGCAGTTTCCAGCGGCCTGCTGCCTGCTCAGCTTGCTTTGGTCTTGGGCTGCCGCCGCAGGCAGAGGACCCCTTCGACCCGCCGAAGAAGCCGACGGACGTGCACAGGACGGCCGAAGTCGCGGGAGAGCGGCATATTTATTACCAGTTTGAGACGTATCCCTATCCCTATGTTTGACATTACCTCACCTCGTTGCCGATCTTAATGACTTCCCCAGTTTCTGAGGGCCTATCCCTAAGATTGTCCTCGCTTTTTGCTCGCCCATCTTAGGGGAAGGGATACGTTCGAGGCTGGTTCATTTATATGGTCTGGGCGCATTCTTGGGGGTCCGGGAGCCTGAGGGCGGGTTCCTACCGCGGCGCCTCAAGATTGTGAGGCGATCTGTCGAGACGCAGACAGCGGGCCGCCCAAGATCCGCCATGGAACCCGAAGGATGCCTTGTGATTTGCAGCATCACAGGGGCGGGACATTCTCCAGCCAGGGTTCATTGAGCGGTGAGTAGCAACACCGCAATGCGTTAGCTTAGTATGTCGTCTTACTTGTGTCTTGCATATGCACACACACACACGCTTGTTGTCTACACCATTCACTTTTCTCTGGCCCGTCGCCCCTGGCGTATTCCTCCCCCTTCCTTTCTCCCCTCCCGTGTTTCACCTTGTCATTCTTCCGCGGGGCCCCGGCGTCACCTTGCAGTGCCCTCGCGGCATCTGGATGCAGGCTGCTTTCTCGCTTGCCAGCTTGTCTGCTTGTCCGCGCCTCGTCGAGAGCTCCGCAGGGAAGCGCCCCGAGCGGCCCTCTCTGGCATTCGGGGGCCCGAGGTGATTGCCGCCAGCAGGTAGTCGCGCGAGGGGTGGAGGAGATGGAGGAGGAGGAGGAGGAGGAGGAGGAGGAGGAGGAGGAGGAGGAGGTGGAGGAGGAGGAGGAGGAGGAGGAGGAGGATGAGAAGTAGGAGGAAGAAGAAAACGAATAAACAGCATGATAATACTTATGAGCATTGCAATAGACATGATCATCATACGGTTCTCTTTTTCCCTAATCAGAGCTTGCCGCCGATTTCGGCTGGGCCCGGGTGCCCAGGTGCTCTGGTGCCCGGCGGTGCCCGGGTGCCCGGGTGGCTGGTGAGGTGCGTGGCCGATTTCGGTGGCCGGGCCCGGGTGCCCGGGTGCCCGGGTGCCCGGGGGTGCCCAATAGCCCAATAGCCCAATAGCCCAGTAACCCTATAGCCCTATAGCCCTATAGCCGTATTGCCCTATAGCCCTGTAGCCCTATATCCTCATATCCTATAGCTCTAATAGCCTTGTATCCCTATAGCCCTATAGCCCCATAGCCCATATAGTTCTATAGCTCCATAGCCCTATAGCCCTATAGTCCTATAGGTCACAGTCCTATCGCCCTATAGCCCTATAGTCCGATATCCCTATAGCCCTATAGCCCGATAGCCCAATAGCCCTATAGCCCCATAGCCCTACAGCCCTATAACGGAGCAGTTGGAAGATACAACAAACCTGATTGTTTTTTCTCCGATCACATATAAGAAGAAGGCGAATCATACTAGCATTCATACTAGTAAGAGCAATACGAAGACGACACATACAACGGGGAATACTACCTGATAGTAATAGGCATACGAACAAGTGAATACTAATAACCAAACTAATGCAGTCCTAAGAAGAGCATGACTATGACAACTAATATCAATCATGCTACCAACACTCATACGAAAATAGAACATACGAAGCATATTCACACTACCACTAATGGCAACAATAATAATTTCATGCTTATTACTATTATTACTAGTATTAATATTTTTTATTATTCCCTACCTAGGCTCTGCCTAGAAGGGTTCTTACTCTCTTGGCTTAAAGGGCCGGGCAGTGGGAACCGGCCCGGGCGGTTCCCCCAGTATCCGGCCCGCGGTTCCCCCAGTTACGTCCCCTTAGCTTAGCGTTTCTCATCTCATCTTAGCTTAGCTTATTTCATCTTAGCTTAGCTTAGCTTCATCTTAGCTCAGGTTTATCTTAGCTTAGCTTACCTTCATTTTTGCTAGCATAGCAGAATACAGCATAGCATAGCGTAGCATCGCATAGCATAGCATACCATAGCCAGTCATGTCATACCATACCATAGCATAGCGCAGCATAGCATAGCCTATCATAGCATATCATAGCATGTCACAGCATATCATAACATAGCGCAGCTTAGCGTACCATATCATACCATATCATAGCTTAGCATATCACAGCGCAGCATGCCATATCACATATTAGCATCGCATAGCATAGCATATCATTGCATATCGCAGCATAGCATTTCATGTCATAGCACAGCATATCATAGCATAGCGCAGCAAATCATGGCATATCTAGGCAGGGTCGCACTGAGGTGCTTATTAGTAGTATTATTGCCATCCTTATTATTATTATTATTATTATTATTCTTATTATTATCATTATTATTATTATTATTGATATTAACAATAATGCGAACACGAATACTACGAATACGACACACGATGCTGGGACGAATCCACATAGACACAAGACAAGATGATGATGATGATGATGATGATGATGATGATGATGATGATGATGATGATGATGATGATGATGATGATGATGATGATGATGATGATGATGATGATGATGCTGATGATGATGATGATGATGAGGAGGAGGAGGAGGAGGGAGGAGGAGGAGGAGGGAGGAGGAGAGGAGGAGGAGGAGGGGAGGGGGAGGGGAGGGGAGGAGGAGGAGGAGGAGGAGGAGGAGGAGGAGGAGGAGGAGGAGGAGGAGGAGGGAGGAGGGAGGAGGAGGAGGAGGAGGAGGACGAGGACGAGGACGAGGGGAGGGGGAGGGGGAGGAGGAGGGGGAGGGGGAGGGGGAGGGGGAGGGGAGGGGGAGGGGGAGGAGGAGGGGGAGTGGGAGGGGAGGGGGAGGGGGGGGGGGGAGGGAAGGGGAAGTGGGAGGGGGAGGGGGAGGAGGAGGACTAAGTGGGCTAATGTGAAAGCGACAGGGGAGTCGCGCGGGGGAAACCCCCGGGGCCGCAGGCGGAACACGAGCTTCCGCAACCCCAGAGCCGTCGGCGCCGCAGGAGGAACACGAGCCTCCGCGGCGCGAAGCAGCCGCTGCCGGAGGAACACGAGCCTCCGCAGCGGGGGGGGGCGCAGGAGGAACACGAGCCTCCGCGCCCCGCAGCCAAGCGAGCCGCAGGAGGAACACGAGCCTCCGTAGCCCTCAAGGCTTGGCCGTTCTCCCGGGCAGGCCCCCGAGCATCAAAACTTGGCCAACTTCACGGGCCGCCTCCATGGGCGGGTAGAGGATACTGGCGTAGAAGAAAACGAACAAACACACCGATTCAATGCAACCCGCAGTGACGAAATAACAATGCCCCTCCAGCGACATCCCCAGGAAAGTGGCGAGCTGCATGCTTCTTCCAACCACCAGCCAGAGAAGACATTGGCAATCACACAACGAAAAGCACAATGCCGAAATGCTGCACCAAAGCCTGCTTGCCATGACCGCCACACCGAACACCACGAGGCCGCGTACACCAAGACGCGTGACGCATGCCATACCAAGACGATGTGGCCCACGAGCACAAACCGTGGCAAGACAAGACGAGCAACTTCGCACCGTGAGAAGACAATGAAAGAAGGCAATGGTGAAGACACCCGGCAATGGTAGTGACCCGCAGTGAAGTGATAAACTGTGCCACCTCCAGAATGCTCACACAGTATGTGGCGAGCTGCACGCTACTTTCAACCACCAGCCAGAGGGAGAGACACGATCAAACCCGCCACGAGCAATACACTGCCGAACGCTGCACCAAAACGTCTTGAGGGCACACCAGGCCCGAGGGCGAGGGGAATTCTAGCCGATCGGCTAGCCGATCGGCTCATCCCTCGAGCCCTAAATCAAACATACCTGAGCCCCATCCCACCAGAAATCGACTGCACAATGACAACGAGTGGAGAGCGCCCAGGCCCGCAAACAAGTACAAGCTGCCTCAAGCATAGCGGACCCCATGCCAACAATGACCAGCAGCACGCCCAGCAGCCCGTCCACCAAGAAGTCCTGCCTCAAAAACGAGACCACCAGGAAAACGAGCTGCAGCGGCAAGTACACGAAGAGAGGCGAACACATTCAACCCGGCGTTGCCAGAGCACCTGGACCTCAAGCGGCAGGGAGCGGTGCACCTCCCCACATTAAGCCCCGGGACGACGGCCGAGCGGCTTTGCGGGGAGCCATTTGAGCCAACATGGCTTGAGCCAAAATGGCTTGAGCCAAAATGGCTTGAGCCAAAATGGCTACGGGGGAGGAGGAGGAGGAGGAGGAGGAGGAGGAGGAGGAGAGGAGGAGGAGGAGGAGGAGGAGGAGGAGGAGGAGGAGGGAGGGGGGAGGGGGAGGGGGAGGGGAGGGGGAGGGGGAGGGGGAGGGGGAGGGGGAGGAGGAGGAGAGGAGGAGGAGGAGGAGGAGGAGGAGGAACAGGAGGAGGAGGAGGAGGAGGAGGAGGAGGAGAGAGCAGGAGGGGGAGGAGGGGGAGGAGGAGAGGAGGAGGAGGAGGAGGAGGAGGAGGAGGAGGAGGAGGAGGAGGAGGGGGAGGGGGAGGAGGAGGAGGAGGAGGAGGAGGAGGAGGAGGAGGACGACGAATAATAAGATGGGTATTTCGAATAAGAATAATAATAAGAAGACGGAGACGAATACTAAGAAGACGAATAATACGAATAACAGTAATACTGATAATCATAAGAAGAGACATGAGACGAAAACGACTATTACTAATAATAAAACTAAGAATGCGAATGCCCACACTAGTCAGACTAATATGACTAATACTAATACTACTAAGAATAAGAGTATTACTATGAATAATACTAAGAGTAAGAAGAGTCATACCATTATATGAACAAAAAGAAAATAATCATTTTCATAAGACTATGAACTTATACTACTAATAATAATAATAATCATAATAATAACACTAATAATTATAAGAATGAGAAATATAATATTATTATTATTAATAATAATAATAGTATCAATAATAATACTAATCATAATAAACATAATAATAGTAACAATACTAATACTAATAATAATACTAATAATAATAATAATCATAATACTAAGACTAACAATCATAATAGTAATAATAATAATAATGATGCTATTAATAATGATACTACTAATAAAAATGATGATGATAATACTAATAATACTACTAATAATAATAACAACAACAATAATAATACTACTAATAAGACTAAGAAGAAGAATAGGAGGAGGATGAGGAGGAGGAGGAGGAGGAAGAGGAGGAGGGGGAGGGGGAGGAAGAGGAGGAGGAGGAGGAGGAGGAGGAGGAGGAGGACGGGGAGGACGGGGAGGACGGGGAGGAGGAGGAGGAGGAGGAGGAGGAGGAGGTCGTAACTGCTTGATGCCCGCCTGCCAAGCTGTCCTGCCTGCGGGGTCAGGGGAGGCCCTCTGCCGACACCGGCCGGGGGGCATCGCGCCTCGCTCCGAGGGGCGCAGGGACCTCTGAGGAGGGAGCGGGTCCCGGAGTCATCGGCCCGAGCCTGGGTTGGTCGTTGCGTAATGGGGGGGTCATAAATGGGGGGGGTGTCGCGGGTGGTCCGAAAAGGTACCCAAACGGTACCTAAACGAGCCCCCTGGGGCTCCAGAGGGGCCCGAAAGGGGCACGAAAGGGGACCGTTTCTGACCCCCCCATTTATGACCCCCCCACTAAGCCACGCCCAACTGGGGGCCGTCGCTTTGTCACGGAGCGCCTTCTGATAGCCCAGGGTCTGTCGTCGTCGTCGTCGCCGTCGCCGTCGCGTCGTCGTCGTCGTCGTCGTCGTCCTCGTCCTCGTCCTCGTCCTCGTCCTTGTCCTTTTCGTCGTCGTAGTAGTCCTTGTCGTCGTCGTCCTCGTTTTAGTCGTCGTAGTAGTCCTTGTCGTCGTCGTCGTCATCGTCGTCGTCGTCGTCGTCGTCGTAGTCTTCCTCGTCGTCGTCGTCGTCGTCGTCGTCGTCGTCCTCGTCGTAGTAGTCGTCGTCCTCGTCCTCGTCGTTGTCGTCGTCGGCGTCGTCGTCGTCGTCGTCGGCGTCGTCGTCTTCTGATGGCCCAGGGTCTTTCCGCACGACGCCGAACGACGGGGGGAAGAGCAGGTGTGCTCTGCTGCCGCCCCCGGCGTTTTGCAGGGTCTGGGAGCGGCCAGTGGCACACGCGCCCTCTGCTCCCCGCGGGTCGGACGGGGGGGGGGAAAGGTGGAGACCCATACCACGAAACCCCCTGCTTGCCTCCAGGGTGCCCTGGGTTTCGATGGCTTCGATGGTTTTGCTGTGGACAGCGTGACGTTCCCCATATCAAACTCAATGGAGCTCCTGGGGTCTCAGGGGTGGGGTTTCTTGTGGAAGGTTTCTTGTGCTCGAGCTCCTACTGTACAGGGAGGGGGGGGTTCATCGAAGAAGAAAACGCGCCATGAACATACACGTCTGGTGTTCCGCGCGGGTTTCCTGGACCCGCGCTGGGCCCTCCCCACCCCCTGGCGGCGCCTCCCGTGCCGCCCTCTGGCGCGCTCCGCGCGCCAGGGAGGGGGGTCCGGTGCAGATCCAAGAACTCCTCGCGGCGCGCCGAACGGTTGTGTTCATGTTTTTTTTTTTTTTTTTTTTTTTTTTTTTTTTTTTTTTTTTTTTTTTTTTTTTTTTTTTTTTTTTTTTTTTTTTTTTTTTTTTTTTTTTTTTTTTTTTTTTTTTTTTTTTTTTTTTTTTTTTTAAAATTATTTTTTTAAATTTTGTTTTGTTGTTTATTTATTTATATGTATATATGTATGTATGTATGTATGCATGCATGTATGTATGTATGTATGTATATATATATATAGATCAACAACAAACGTCACCGACGTCCCCGACGTCATGACTTGGCATAACGTCGACCCCCAGAGGTCTCGACCCGTTCCCCAGGACCGGTTCCTCATCCTGCGCCGCTTGATCGTGGCCCCGAAGCCCGGCAAGGGCCCCCAGGTCCCGAGAAGGGGGAGAAACCTTCTGTCGTGATTTTGCCATGGCTCGGGGGGACCTGGGACAGGAGAGAGAGCGGCGTGGGCGACCTGTCGCACGTGCACCACCCCCTGTCGTTCAAGGACGCGGGCCTGCGTCCAGGGGCGACAGGGAGGGGGGTCCAGAGAGGAGGCGCGGCGGCTCGGGGTCTGCGTCCTGGGGGTACGGCTCTGGGGCATGCCGGGGCGTGGCAGGAGGGAGAAGAGGAGGAGGAGGAGGAGGAGGAGGAGGCGGAGGCGGAGGAGGAGGAGGCGGAGGCGGAGGAGGAGGAGGAGGAGGAGGAGGAACGGGTGAGGAGGAGGGGCGTGGGAAGAGGAGGGGGGCGGAGGAGGGGAACGAGTAGAAAGAAAGGGAGAGGGCGGGGAGATGGAGGGTTGGGCGCAAACGTGTCAGGAAAAGGAGGAGGATAAGGATGAGGAGGAGGAGCAGAATGAGGAGCAGGAGGAGCATGAGGGCGAGCGGGAGGGTTGTGTAATTAGAGAGGGCAAGGGAGAGGTTGTGGAAGAGGGTGGATAGAGTGTATCCACCAATCTACACGTATCTATCAGTGCCTCTCTAGATAACAGATGTTGCTATTCATGAGAGTGCTTGCACTTAGGAGTTCTTGTTTCCCTTCTGAGGATCCGGGCTCGTATGCGCCCCCCCGCGGCCCCGTTCCCGTCCGTCGCCGTCCAATGTTCGATGTTTGTCAGATAAACCCTTTGTCGGGCCTGGCTGTCCCGCTCCTATCCGTTGACGCACCACGTTTACACAACATAGTTCTTGCCACATAGCTTGCACCGCACGTGTTACGCCACACGGTTCACGCCGCGCAGCTTACATTGCGCAGCTTTCAATACACAGCTTAGCTTGCTAAGCTTTCACCACGTAGCTCCTCACACCAGATAGCTTGCACACTATAACTCACACCATCTGGCTCACACAACATGGCTTACACAGCATAGTGTACACCGCATAGCTGACACATCATAGGTCACAACACCTGGGTCGCGCAACATAGCCTACGCAGCATATATTGCACCGCAAAGCTTGCACATCATATCTTGCACTGTATACCACACTCCGCAAAGTGTGCACAGCATGGATTCCACCACATAGCCTACACAACATGTCTTCCACATTCACAATGCAATGACTCACTGGTTAGGGTCCACGCTGGCGAACATACTGATGTGTATATCGATATTTGCACATGTCAGGCAGCGTGGCCCCAAACAGAAATTTCCTTGAAATCTATGCGGTGCAACCTAAGTTGTGCAATGATTGTGCTGCAATCAAGGTGGTGCAGTCCATGTGGTGCAACCTATGTGGTGCAAACCAATTCAAATCAACGCAAACGAATTCGACGCAATGCAAATCACCGCATGCAAAGTAATGCAAAGCAGTCCAGTGCAGCGCACTGCAAGGCGAGCGACCCGAAGCAGTGCAGCACTCAGCACACCCCTGCGGAGCACCTGCAGCGTGGTGCAGACGAGGGCACAGCAGTGCGAAGCGGTCAGCTCCGCGCAGCGCAGCGCAGTGCAGAGCAGCGCACGGACAGCGCACAGCAAAGCGCGAGCCTCGCACAGCCAACGCTCGGAAGCTGGGCGAGGGCTGCTAAAACCGTGGCTGCTAAAACGGCCCTCCCGGAAGGAAAAAACAACTTCCCGGAATGAGGCGCGGCACGCGAAACAGTCAGCGGGCTTCTTCCCGGAAGGACGAAGGCAACTTCCCGGAGGTCGATTTTAGCAGCCACGGATTTAGCAGCTCTTGCCCGGCTTCCGAAACGCCGTGACGGGGCGACGGCGGCGACGGCCGGCGACGGGCGGCCCACGAGCTGGCCGGCAGCCGGCCGCCGGGGCCTCGCTCGCAGGAGCAGGCTCGTGGCCGAGGGCGGCGGCGCCGGGCGGCCACAGGCCAGCCGGGCCGGCCGTGGGGCCCAGGTCCTCAGAGGAGAAGCGAGAGCCCCGAAGCGCAAGCATTGTGTGGGGAATATGAGCTAGGCAGCGCAAGCATTATGTTATGGCATGCTTCTAGAGCCCCGAAGCGCAAGCAGTATGTTATGGCAGGCTGCTAGATGTATATAGATCTGGGTATACAGGTGTGTGCGTGTGTGTGGAGAAAGATCAGCATACATGAGAGCGAGAGGGGAGAGAGCGAGAGAGAGAGAGAGAGAGAGAGAGAGAGAGAAAGAGAGAGAGAGAGGGAGAGACAGGGTGAAAGAGAGAGAGAGAGAGAAGGCAGAACGTGGGGAAGGAGGAGCGGTAGGATGAGGGAAGGAAGAGTCTCCTTGCGGCGGGATGGAATAATGAACAGGAGGACAGGAGGAGTGTTAAGAGGAAGAGAAAGAGGAGGATGATGAGGAGGAGGAGGAGGCGGACGAGGAGGAGAACCGGGGGAGGAGTGAAGGAGGGGGAACAGAGAGTGAAGCATCGATCGTTTTGGGAAGATAGGTAAGAAGGAGGGAGAAGGGATACTGGAATATGGATGAAAGGGATGAGGAATCGTGACGGCGGGGGAGAGGGGCCATGAGGAGTGAGGATCTAGGTTCTCGTTTGAAGCGATATGCGTTTGTAGTGGGGGAGGATCACGCTGCGTCTCTTTCAGCTCTACTATGGCTGCATCGCTTACATATGTGGTGAGATATACCACTTGTATGCTTCTGAACAATTTGCAGACACGCCCATGTACTGCGTTACGTTTTGCTGCCGCGTATTTCAACCTCTCTTGTTTGGTGTCCTTCCTCAGTACGTTATGTCTCAAGTCCTTTGTGCCTTGCACCAGTATCCCGCTGCTCGCACTGGCTGTCTGCTTAGTTTCTCCGCGCCATCATGGACCCCATCTTTAACCATCTCTTGTGGCACTACTTGCGTTCGCACTGGCAGCGGCCTTACTAATTCTTCACGCGTTGCATACATACCCCCACCAGACCATTCAACACCCTGCCCATGAGAGTTGACGGGAAAAGCGACGAAGAGACACACGCAGAACAACAACACGGGTAACCAGGGTGGACAGAGGGATCTCTGGGAGCAAGGTGGTGGCCTGGAAGGGCCTCTTCGGACTATCGCTGGGGCCCGCGTGGGGGGCGAGGGCAGGAGGAGGAGGAGGAGGAGGAGGAGGAGAAGGAGGAGGAGGCGGAGAAGTCGGAGGAAGGCGACGACGACCACGACGACGAGGATGAGGACGAAACGGAAAAGGAAGACGATGAGGGCAAGGACGAGGACAAGTACGAGGACAACGAGGAGGCGGAGGGCAACGGGGACGAGGACAGAGCCATCAACATCGCCCCTTGGAGCCCTCTAGAGACTCTTTTGGAGGATTTCGGGGTTCTCTTGGGGCTCTTCTGGGGGGTCTTGGGGCCCTCTTGGGGCCCTCTTCGGGTTTCCTTGGAAACCCTGGAGGGCCTCTTGGGTCCATCTTGGATGCCATCGATCGAGGGGGGGGGCGGTCCCACACGTTTCTCCACCATGGGGCCATCAACCTCGCCTCCTGGGGCGCTTTTGGGGCGCTTTTGGTCCGCTCTTGGGCGCTCTTGGGGGCCTCTCGGATTCTTCTTGGGCCTTTTCGGTCATCTTGAGGCCGTCTGGAGGCCTCAAAAGCTCATCAGAAGCGACAAGTTGAGACGTCCAACACCACTGATCCCGTTTACTTTTTTACAGGATGGTGGCCTCTTGGGGGGTCCTGAGCGGGCTCCGAGAGCACCGGGAACCGTCTCGTGGCCCTCGTCGGGCCTTTTGGAGATAGGTCGGAAGCTACCTTGATACATCTTTGGCTATCTTGAGCAGCCTTCGAGGCCATCTTGGAGCAGTGGAGGCTCTCTTGGGGCCACTTTGGGCGAAACAAGACCCCTAACACACCGTGGACCCCCCCAAACACCTCAGGGAGAGGAGGGGGAGGGGACCCCTCCCCGACGGGAAGAAGGTTCTGGAAGAGGAAAGAAAGAACTCGTTAGACCACCTTAGCCTAACATGCTGGCGGGAACTGTTTTTTCCATGCCTAAATCGGCGCACTTGTTTTTTCTCCCGAGGATCGCAACAAACCATGCTTGCCTGCCCGCCCGATGGAACAAAAAGATGAGAACCCGCTTCGAGCACAGCGGATATTCGATGAGTCCTTTTGGATTCCGATTTCGGTTCCGATTTGTCACTGGAGGCATACTGGCCTGCCGATTTCCGCCGATTCGACTTTTCCCGACTTGGCCGCCGATCGCCGCCGATCCGATTCGTTTCGATCGCCGATTTGACTTATCGATTCGATTCTGGCACATTTTGGAAGCGGACCGCCTTTCATCCGTGAACCTGTTGCCAATGTCTAAGTCGCAGGATCATCAATGGTAAGGACGTCTCAGGCGAGATGCCAAGCCCGCCCTTCGGACTGTCCTTGGGGCGCGACAGGGAGGAGTTGTTAATGAGGGAAAGGAATTTAGATTGACCCTCACATCAATACGTACTCAATATGAATACTACTCTTCTTTCTCCCCGGATCCTCTCCGAGCGGGCCTTCTTTTTCCCGCATACTTGCTCAACCTTCTAGGATTCCAGAAGGTGGTCTTCGACCTGGTTTCCTGTTTTCCAATCGGAGCGTCTCTGGTGGCTCCACATGATGCTCCCGCCGCAGCGTCGGCTCCGTTTTAGGACCGACTCTTTGCTCCCGTCGGTCGAAATGACCATCTCGCCCCAGCGTGGGCCCCAATTCTGGCTCCGAGTCGTTCCTCGCCGCTGCCGCCCCGCTCCTCTCCTCTCCTCCGCCTTCCGCTGGTCCTCCTGCTCCGCCCCCTCGTCCAACTCCTGTTCCTGCTGTTGCCGTTTCTTCTCGTCCTCCTCCTTCCTTCTGCCTCATTCCCTTCCTTCTGCTCATCTGCTTGCGCATCTGCCACCTCCTCCTTCTCCTCATCTTTCACAGCCCCCGTCTTGGGCATACTGCGACGGCTTCCTCGAGAGGGTTTCAGGTCCGCTACGACACCCGTCGGCCGATGGAGAAGTCTCGGCGCAATGGCACGGGACGGGTGGCAGGGGTAGGGTGCCAGATACCACGCACCTAGCTTGGCCCCACGCCCTCTCTTGTCTCCTTTTCCCCCTCGCCCTTTTCCTTCCCTGCTCCTCTTCCTCCTCCCCGATCCCTTGTCCCAGAACCTCCCCACCTTACTTCCTCTTCTCCCTCCTGCTTCTCTGATCAGTGCGTGCTGGATACGTATGATCGCCTGATCATCGGCGCCACGGAGCCACCGCCGTTCGCTCCACGAGACGCCGTGTGGACGATATTCGGCGCCTGTCCCGCCCTGTCCTCCCTAGACATGAAGCGGCCCCGCTGTTTCGACACGTGGCCCTCCCCAGACATCTCGACCTCCTCCACTTGATCAGCTCTCTCCATCCCGTTATCTCGGGCTGTACAGTCGGGGCGCTGAAGAAGGAGCCCTTTTCGTTGGGGAGGGGCTCGGTGTTCCTTAATTGTTCCACACTTTGCCCAAGGTTTTCCTTAAGTTTTCGATGGGAAGTCGAAGGTTAACTTGTGAAAAAAGGGGCCTCGTTCCTTGTTTAGGGTTCCTCAGGTCAACGCCTCGACTGTATCCTGATGAGTCCAGCGCTCGGAGCGAGCCTTCGGAGGCAGATCGTGCCATCGCCGGGCAGCAGGGGCACTTCCGAGCCGCCCGCTGTCTGAGGTCCCGCTCTTCCCCTCGCCCGCCCTCCTCCAGGGTCGTCGAGGACAAGAGAGACCCCTAACTCCAGTAACACAGTGAAGACGTGGCCTCGCTGAGGGCTTCCTTTTCGCATGAGGGATGCTCTTTCTGGACGGTTCGGCCTGACATATCTGCAGAACAAGACCCCCTATCCCTAATGTTTTTGGCCCTCATGACTTCGGTCCCCTCCCAAGGGTTAGGGGTGCTTTTGTTGCTATCCCCAAGGTGCCCACCCGGAGCCTCGCCCCCTCCGCGGCGGCGCGGCGCGCCAGGACGCCTCCCCGCAGCGCGACCCCGGGAAGAGCCCGTTCGCGGGGTCTCCGCAGCTGCCTCTGAGGGGCCCCGCGCAGGACGCAGCGTTGGGGGGCAGCGGGGGGGGCGGGGAAGGAGGTCTACACGCGGGTCGTTGAAAGTAGGTATGTTTGGATTCCCACATCCTAATCTACTTCAAGCGCCTTCCTACTTCAAGAGTCGGCTTGCTTTTGCTGTGTTTTGTTATTCTCTAGGAGGGCCTGGACCCAATCCACTTTATCCGCTTTCCTACTTCATGTTTTTACCGACTTCTTCGGACCGACGTGTAGTCTCCCTGATGGAGTCGGAGTCGGTGGGGTCAGAGGATCGCGCCGCATCGCCGATGCATCGGCAATGCAGCTCGATGTGGAGCCCGAGTTTCTCCACGCCGACGTCGCCGATGCCTCGCCGACGTCGCCGATGCATCGCCGATGCATCGCCGATGCATCGGCGATGCATCGGCGATGCGGCGCGATCCTCCGTCCCCATCTTGGTGTGGAAAATGGCGCAGTCCTGACCGGTGGGAACACCCCCGCGCCTCTCCTTCTGCGCTGCCCTTCAGGCGCACGCGTCTCTGGGGGGCATCCCAACTCATAGTGCGGGTTCTGTACCCCAGGGGGTGGGTATAGCAGACTAGCTCTTTGGTGCGTCCATCGCTCTCACAGGTTATCAGCCTTTTCTACTTCGCTCCCCGTTGCGAACCCCCGCGCCGACAGCGAACCCCGCGCATGCCTCTGGACCCACTCGGGACCCGTGGCTCTGCTCGCGGTGGCTCCCCGACGGCGCGCCGCGGACCTCGCGACGACATGGACAGGGCAGCGGGACCAGGAATGAGGAGAAGGCAGCGCTGATGCCCGCTCAGAAGCCGAGCTTCGGCGTGCACAACAGGCACGATCCCGACACTCAGATGTGGGTTCGTCCTATGATTTTCAGCCGGGGCAGAACCCTGCGCAGGCGCACTCGCACGCCCCAGGACCCGGACCGAGATCGCAACCGAACCCTCAGCCACATGGAGTCAACAAGAGCCCGATCATCCTGTCGGTGGAAACACCTGCGCCTTCCTCCTCCTCCTCCTCCTCCTCCTCCTCTTCCTCCTCTTCCTCCTCTTCCTCCTTCTCCTCCTCCTCCTAGCCGTTCCGGCTCAGAAGCTTTCTGAGGTTGCGACAGCATGCATCTTCGAAGCGGCCAAGTGCTGTTGCGGGCCATTGGCTCAACTTGCTCTGCGGAGCCTTTCCTCCTTTGTGAGTTCCTGCTGGAGCAACGTCCGGGTTGTGCCAAGGCCTTCTGCGAGGAGGCGTGTGGCCCAGCGCCACGATGAACCTGACGTCTTTTTTGGACCACGTGAGCCCAAGTGGGGTTGCCCCAACTGTGGGCGCAATCGGAATTATGCTTCCCGTATCCGATGTTTGTGTGGCAACATGGCCCCGACCTCGACCATCACCAAGGTACGGCGTGCTGCCCAGGGGGCTGTACATGGTGGTGGTGGCGGTGCTGCTCCTCCTCGTGGCCCCCGCGGGGCGTGGGCCAACGGACCCCCGAAAAATGCCGCCAACCTCACTGCCCAGCTTGCCACCTTTGAGAAACGCATGCTCGAGCAGTGCAAGCAGATGTTCAAGTCGGCTGCCCCCACAGTTGCCCATGGCGATGGCGGAGGCGGCAAAGACAAACCGACAGATGACGAGGACGACGAGGACAAGAAGCTCTGAGAGCGCATCCAGCACCTCGAGGAGTCTCCCCAGGCGGTCAAGAAGTGCGGCGACTCGATCTCGGCCTCCGTCCAGATTGGTATCCAGTCTGAGCAGGACGCTGCACGCAAGATGGCTAATGACAAGAAGCCTATGCTCTCTCGGCACACTGCAGTCGGGCACAAGCTGGCTCGGCGCAAGATGCAGTATGAGAAGGGCCAGGTTGATATTGAGGAGCAGATCAAGGCGGTGGCAACTGCCCAGCAGGTGCTCCAAGACTTGCAGGACAAGCGAAGTGCCAAGCAGGTGGATATTGACGCGCTGCAGATCGAGCTCCAGGCCACGATGCGGGCCGTGGCGCCTGAGCCTGCGGTCGACACTGGGGTTTTCGACTTGCCCTCGGAGCGGCTCGAGCGGGGCGACGCCGCCGAGGTCAAGGCCATGGTGGAGAGCCCTGCTTTCCAGAAGTACAGGGAGCTTGCCAAGTCTCAGCTGCAGAAGCAGGCTGGGGCGCCCCAGTCTCCACCTCCTACTCAGGCTCCAGGACAGGCTCCAGGTCCCGTCGCTCCTAGTCATGGGGATGGGGGTTCGTGCAGGAGACGATGACGTAGATATGGGGGAACTGGGGGAGGAGACCGTTGCCCTTCGGTTGGCGGCTGCAAGAAAAGAAGGAGGCGACCGCGCCCAGTCTTTCCAGGAGGAACCCCTCGATTCCATGGGCATTCGGGCTCAGACAGCGAGTTTGGGGTGGTGCAGTTTTCGGACTACATGTTCCCAGTGTATGGGGAGTGGGTACCTTTATCTTCAGAAGGTCTCCCAGTTCCGCCTTTGAAGGGTGGGCCCAGTGCACGCGCGGCGAGCGACGTTCACAATATTGAATCTTTCAATGGGTCATGTTGGACCACTTTTCGCCGACGGCTCAAGGAGTTGGATGCCGTGATATTGCGTGCGCAAGAGAGCTGTATTTCGGGGTCTTTTGTTGGTCAAGCCTCGGCGGCGGCGCGAGGGATAGGCTGGCGTTGCCTGATCGCGCCGTCCTTCAACTCAGAGGCTAACGAGTTGTCTAGCGGGGTGGCGGTGTTGCTCGTTTTGCCATCGGCCTTCGTTGGCCACCCGCAGGAGATGCCCCGATAGTGCCTCGCAGGGTCCTCAAGGTGCTCGTCAGGTCGGCTCACGATGTCTTTTAAAAAAAATATATATATATATATATAAAATGTTTGTTTGTTTGTTTGTTTGTCTGTTTGTTTGTTTGTTTGTTTGTTGTTCGTTTGTTTGTTTGTTTGTTTGTTTGTTTGTTTGCTTGTTTGTTTGTTTGTTTGTTTGTTTGTTTTGTTATATATATATGCACTTCTTTCTTTCTTTCTTTCTTTATGTCTTTCTTTCTTTCTTTTTTTCCCCTGCGTACCACCGAAGGCCAAAGCGAGGCCAACATTGGGGTCTTTGGATCCTTGGGACTATTGGGAAGGCTGTACATGATCCAGCCCATGCATTGATTTCTTGCGATTGGAACCTCTCCCCGCAAGTTGTCGAAGACTCGGAGGTCCCACGGGGGCTCGGTTTGATTGTCGTAGGCCCGCTAGCTTATGCTTGCCGTGCGCCTACTAGCAATAACATCATTGACTTCCACATTCTCGGGCCTGGCTTGGCCAGCTTGATCGACGGGGCGTCTGTGGACATGGCGTGGGAGGTTAAGCCTCGCAGGCCTGTGGTCTCAGAAGTTCATTCAGATGCTCTCTGTCTCCGCCAGCTTGTATGTCGTTCTTACCAGCGCATGCCAGTCGATGTTCCATTCGGCCCTGTTCTACAGCCTGCTGTCTGGGACGGTGCTCCTGCTCACGCTGCGCGAGAAGCTGGGCGTGCAGTTTGCGACGCGGCCGCAGCTGCCTGAGAACTTCTCAACCAGGCTCGGGCGCATTTTATCGGCGTTGCTGGAGTTCAGCTATGTCGCAATCTGGGGGCCGAGTCGAAGGAGTTCGGGGGCTTTCCAGGACTATTCGTTTGTCTTGGGCTTCGGTCTTCTACAGGCCAAACGGCGGCAACGACAAGGGCCAGGTTTTGACGGGCTGGAAGTGGCTGTGCCGGACTTTCAACGAGTTTCTGCTGTCCGTCCAGGACCGCTCGGCCAGGGGCGCGGCCGCGCGCGTGCAGCTGCAGGTGGCTCTTCAGCGCTCCTGCCCTGGAGAGGGGGTTCCGCCTCGCCTTGGCGCCGCGCTTTGGCCCATGCGAAGTCTGGCAGCTCGGTGGCAAGGGCCCTGCTCTGGTGACGGGGAGTGGGTAGAGCTAGCTCATCGTTCCTGGAAGACATCCGGGGGGATTTCGACCAGGCTGTATCTGATGGTGGTCGTCTATCCTGGGGATCTTGGGATGAATGGCAGTCTCGGGCTCTTGCAGGTTTTGCGCGCATAATGTGCAGATTCACCCGGATAAAGAAGCGCTGGCCGCCTACTGTTGTGCAGGGCTCGCTTGGCATTTTTACCTCGGACCCTGCTGCGCTCTTTGGAAGATGAAGCGAAGCGGTTCGCAGGGTTCTGGAAGGCATCCCTCGAGCCCCCAAAAGCGTGGGCCCCGAACCGTGACAGCTTCGAGCGAGCTGCTCCAGCGTTCATCCGCACCGCTGCGCAGAGCTTGAGAAGACATGCGTCTCAGGGCCTCGAAGGGTTCCATCCCCGGCATGTTGCGGCCTTTAGTGATCGGGGGCCGGAGGTCCTCGCCATCCTCTACGATTGCGTGGAGAGGTTAGGCCTTTTCCTTCAGCAGCTGCTGTGGATGTTGTTTCCCCTTCTGGAGAAGCCTAAATGAGGTCTTCGCCCGATGCTTTTCCTGGGATCTCTCGTTCGAGTCTGGGAGCGGTTGCGTCGCCCTATGGTTGGTGATTTTCTGGGTCGGGCTTTTAGGCCCTACTGGCCTTTTGGATCTGGGCAGTCCGCGGAGGTATCGTTTCGGCAGCAGAGTGTTCGTGCTGGAGAAGGTAACTGCTTGTGTTATCTGGGACGGTTTGAATTATTCTGGGTTTTTTGTTTTAGAGTGGCTTCGAGACCGGGCAATATACTGGAATCTACCCGTTGTCCGAGTCAAGACATTACATAACCTGTGGCGTAGCCCGCGTATATTTCGGCTTGGATCTCATCGCTGTCCCCTAGTCGTCTATGCTGAGTGCGGCCTGCCCGCTGGAGATATTTTCAATGCTGTTTTTGCCAAGGTTTAGGCGATGCTCGACTTCGACATATTCGCGTTGACGATGACGCGGTTGGTGCTTGTGGCGACGAGGATAAGGTGCTTGGGAATCTTCAAAAAGCTGCTTCTGATTTCAAGCAAGTCTTCTCCACTTGGCGTTGCGTGCAGCTAGCCGAGGACAAGGCCGTCGCCTTTCGCCA